CTCGAGTCGCTGCGCGACTCGAGCAATTTCAGCAACTTCCGAAAACACGCGTGATATTAATCCTTAATTTTACTCGGCCCCATGCGATTACCTATACTTATTTCTTGTATGTACGGAAATCGAGCTGCTCAGACTGTCGCAAGCTAACTGATCTTAACAGCGGATCTCCAAACTTGATCATGATTTATTTTTCGTGGTAAACATTTATAAAATAAGCTGAATTACACACGGGGTTTGATTGCTTCTTACTTATAAGCAATTACAGGCCAGGACATGATGGCTTTAACATTTACAGCATTTTGGTTCTCTATTATAGACAACAGACTTTGTGTTGAGACTTCTGTTCAGTAATAGATCGTAGACGACGTCAAAAAGTGGCAAGTAAAAAAAGTAACACTCACGGCTAAGCCTCGTACACCAGTTTCTTCTCCTTACCTGCTACCTTTTGACTTTGTCTGTGATCTAGTGCTGAACAGGAACGTGGGAACACAGAATCTATTTGTTAAACATGCTGACTAATTATTACTGACCAAAATAGTCAAATATTTCATTACATGTGGATTACCAGTGCCCGGCATAAATTTGCTGAAGCAGAGAATCTATTGCCTGATTTACTTTATAGTGAAAAGTTTCATGCGCATATGGGACATCAAAAAAGCTTACCTGCGCATTGAATTTCCCTCAGCAAATCAGTAATACACTGGATCAGTAAACACCATCTCTAAAAAATAGCCATACGGTACTCGAACCCCGATACTTAATTATCTGAACTTACGATTCTTTATTACCTATTTGGTAATTAATGATAATTTAGTAATGTATAAAGAAAGTATTTTCTTGATTATAAGGCTTTCAACTCCTATTTCTGCTCAGGCTAGGGAAATGACATTAAAGTTGTATTCGATTGTGATTCGTGAATTTATAAACCAGCGTGAGGCGTGTTTGCTTCTTGAAATAAACGTGGCCCGCAAATTTATTATTTCATTTCGCGATAGCCTCAAGATTTCACGTGTAAAACCGGATCAGGATCCCCCACCACCTCCCCCCTCCTTGCCGCCTTCCCTTCTCTTTGTAATAAAGATCTGATAATGACCAAAACAATGGTGCTCAATCTCTGGAGGGCACGAGGTGAACTTGTTGCAACCGTCAAGAGACCTTGATTTGAGCTCAGTCCATGTACATTTGGGTGTGAAATTCACATAAGTTATGACAGCATAATGACATGAACATGATAAAAGTAGGTGAAATGCCGACTTCCTTGATTAATTCAAGACTTCTTTTCAGTTTCTCCCTTCGCAACCGTCGCGACAAGCAGTACGCATGGCACTACACAAATTGCATCACATACCCCATCGAACCAGTCCTATTCGCCACAGGTCCCTTCATCAAGATATCTGGTAACATCATCTTCCGTGTTTGGGGTCTCCTCAAATGGAAGCGTTTCCTCTGCACTAAACAATTCATCATCGAGTTCGATAACAGTTCAGCTTCAAACCTCGATAGCCGTGACTAATCGTAGCACAGCAGTGAGTCCTGTTGCTAGTCATAGTACAATCATCAAATCCATGGCGATAAAAAGCTCAGCCATCAGCACAAAGACTGAACAAAGCACGACCATGATTTCATCTCAAGTGACCAAGGGGAAAACTGCAACTAGTACTCCTTCCAAGTCTCAATCGACAAGCAGCTCTGTGATTACAAAGCGGACCCCGACTACAGCGAGTCCCGCAATCAAAGGTTAGTTATTAGATTAAGTAGGTTTCGAGCAAAGGCGTGGCCGAGAGTTCAGTGTTGATCGGTGATGCATTTGAAATCTGGAAGTTCCAGCCTTTCCAATTCACTTAACTCACTGGATAATTTAAGAGATATCAACATTTTGACACAGAATCCTAAATGTAAGGTATTTTACTATTGATATCTACATCTGGACATGCACAGACTCCTTGATGTAAGGTATTTCACGATCAATATCAACATTGAGGCACAGACTCCTAGATGTAAGGTATTTTACGATCAATATCAACATCTGGGCATAGAATCCTAGGTGAAGGATATTTTATGTTAAATATCAACAACTGGGCACAGACTCCTAGATGTAAGGTATTTTACGACCAATATCAACATCTGGGCATAGAATTCTAGGTGAGGGATATTTTATGTTTAATATCAGCATCTGGGCATAGAATCCTAGGTGAAGGATATTTTATGTTAAATATCAAAAACTGGGCACAGACCCCTAGATATAAGGTATTTTACGATAAATATCGACATCTGGGCATAGAATTCTAGGTAAAAGATATTTTATGTTTGATATCAACATCTGGGCACAGAATCCTGGGTGAAGGATATTTTATGTTTGATATCAACATCTGGGCACAGAATCCTGGGTGAAGGATATTTTATGTTTAATATCAACATCTGGGCGCAGACTCCTAGATGTAAGATACCTTACGATCAATATCAACATCTGGACACAACCTCTAGCCTCTGTCAGTCGACTCATTGGATTCGATCAGTGTAAATTTATGCATTAATGCTGATAACAAACTCATATCTCCTTTACAATGGAAGAAGCAATAGCCAAAATGTGAAAAATTCGCGAACTTTAGTAAATGTATTTACATTCGGCGGAACTAAACTGCAAGTGGCAGTGACAAAGAATGTAAATATTTTCCTATTGGTATGTTAGCACGTGGGCCGCTATGGCGTTAATTGAGTCTTTTGTTGTATGGTGTATTTAAGGTCTGCATTTGGATGGGGAATATGACCCCATTTTTCCCGCTGGGTTTTTGGGTTTTCGTAGCAGGCGGCGGCACACTAAACGCTTTGGCCCGAGAGGTGATGACTAGTTGTTTACTACTCTGTGTAACTTCGTCGGACGGCATTAAATACTCGAGCTCCTAGTTCGAGCTGCACACCCACTCTTGTGTGTGAGTCGTGAATTTAAATAGGAACATGCTTTGCCAGCCGGCGTATCAGACAGATTGGGATGATAAATTAATAAACGGCGAAGCCCTCTAGAGGTTGGGACGGAAGAAAAGTTTTTCCTTCTTCATCCCTCGTCTTCTTCCCTCATCACTTCGCGCACAAAAAAACCCCTAGATACGCAGGTTGTTGCTTTAGAAAGAACTTAAAATTGTCTCTTTTCAGTTAACCCACCAACTCAGCTATTTTTACTCTTATTTTTTTCCTAGATGACCGACTCTCTCTAACAGAACAAATCTTAATCGCATGCCTTGCTGTGTTCTTCTTCGTGTTAATTGCCATGGTCGTTCTGGTTATTCAAATCGTTCTTCTCAACAAGTCCGTGAACAAATTAAAAGCCACAAGTCGCCGTTAAAAGCCAGGACAACACTACAACACAGGCAGATATTTCCTCTCAGTTTCTTTCTGTCAAATACGAATAGGTTTTTGTAAACCGTTTTATGTCATGGCGTACATGGTGTGTAGCTTCCTTAGGAACTGTAATTGTTTATAAGGTAGAGCTGAATAACTTAAAACGGAGGAGAAGAGAAGGGGCACACAAGTATATGCAAGCATATTCCTCGAGGCAGCTTAAAGTAATTATTGAAGTGGGTGATGGGAGTGGGGGGGGGGGGAAATCAACCCAAATTTTGCCTCTCTCCTCGGATTCCCCCCATTTTTTCTTCCCCTCTCCCATTCGAAATGACGATGGATGCCTTAGTGCTTATTCCGCGCGGGTTGGAAGCCACGTTATTTCCTCTTGATATTCTGAACATTCTACAAGCTATGTGTATGGTAGGTTCACCTTAAAGGAACGATACTTCATACAGTGAAAACTTGTTGAAAACTTGTTGTTAGACCATTCTCTTTTTTTTTTTTTTTTTTTTTTTTTTTTTTTTTTTCACAAATTCTTAATGTTCCGCACTAACTGAATAAGTAATAATTTTTAGGATCCCTGAACACAGTTAAGTGCTTTAACAGTATTGCACCCTGCACCCTCATTATCTTCTAGTAAGATAATGTATCGAATTAAGGATAGGTTAAGATTTAATAGGGTTGAAAATGTTTTTCTTTTTTTCTACATGTGGACACGTTACATTCAGAGACATTAGCAAAGGGATTTTTGTACCCTTTTTTGACTGTCTCTATGTTTATGCGCTTCTGTCTCATCATATTTTATAGCTACCTTGGGTAGACATTTTCTGCCTTTACTGAGGCTGATTCTTAGTTTTATAAGACTTAGGCCACGAGCAGTACTGTGCCGACGTCCCTCGCTCTCAGATTCTGCGCGGCGCGCCAACATCAATTTTTTTTTAATTATCTTTTTTCTAGCGCGAGTGACTCCGCCGAAAAGCAAGAACTGCTCGAAGACTAAGTCAGATTTGCAAGTACGAACTTTTAACTTATGTTTTATTTAAATATGTTCAAATTGATTTATTTTTAACTAGTTAGCAGATGACAGGGGTTTGTAAAAGTGTGGAAAAGAAAAATGAAGTGTTTATTAAAAGATTCCTCATTTTTCGAAATAGGGCTAACGCTCGAACGATAAACTTTAGAACTAAACTCTCTACGGTAGCCACTGTGAACTCAGTTAATCACGCACCTGTTCATTCGTTTGTTCTCTTGCACTCACCTGTGGCTATCAACAGGCGTCATATGCTGCACAATTTTTATGCTGCGCGATAGCCTGCTCCAGCCCTTCACTTAGGAAAACAAAGCACGACAGTAAACGGCGCGATTATGAAGGCGGAGGAGATAAAAGACGAGGGAAGCTTGGGTCGGGTCCCTCTGAGGATACCGACCCAGACTGTCAACAGGCTGGCCACGCGACTGTGGCTTTTTCATCCACAACCTAAGAATACCTTTTTCTCAATCATGTTTATTCATAAAATTTCACGACAAAATCCAATTTAGTCTCTTACTTCGTTACTCCACGTTGTTTCGATACAGAATACAACACTACATATAGCAAACGAATCTTTGTATCGAAAAGACCGTGAACCCTTCTAACGAATGCTTTTAACGAAATAAGGAACACTGCAAATTTTCTTGCCCAGCAAATTAAAGAGAACGCGTTGAAATATGCAATTCCTTTTAAAACAAATTTTATGCGCCCCACAAAAGTAACACACTCACAAAAAACATACCAACAGATTTCTCCATAAAAAGAGACGTTAAATTTTATTTTAGTAATACTCAGGACTTATTAGAAGTTCTTTAGAAAATATTTACACTGATATCCCCTATTTTGGGGCTAAGTGTATTTTCAAAAATGCCTCGAGAGATCAAACACTTTATTCTATCAGGATTTAGAGTTGTGTACTAGGAACACGAAGTTCCAGTTTTAGCCATTTTCTCAATCTTTTCTGCCAATTCAAGGCAGTAAAGCACTCGTTTCTTATCTTGAGCTATTTCATCAGAGCTACGCTCCCCTCGTATTTCAGAAAGAAATATCTCCACATCCCTTGCAAACAATCCCTTGTGTCCAGGGGGTGGGGGGCCAGGGGGTTTGGAAACAGGTGCTGGTGTCACAGTACTACCATCTTCAAATTTATACTCCTGGGATGCTTGCCTTGGTTTTCCACCTTGTACTCGCTCAGTTGTCCAAGTTATTGGCCTACAAAATAAACAATATCCAAAAAACATTATTCAGTTGAGAAATGAGCCACCCCACTAACCATAACCTTCAACAATTGTTTGGAGACACTCTGCCCTTCTTCAATGAAAAACAACAATTACAAAACTATCCCTCACTCTTTCTCAAGTAATTTTGCCACTTTTGTAGTTGTGAAGGGGGAAGCAATTAAAGGAAAATATGAGTCATCCATTCGTAAGCATAATTACTTTAAGATATGTTTTGGGTTACCAGTGTACTCATCAATCAGCCAACATAAAATAAAAGTGTCCACTGCAACTCCTAGTAGATAGAATCTCTACTCTTTTAAGAAACACTCCACTATAGGTTTTTTGTTTTCACCAAAGGGTTGTCATTAGGAAATGTAATAGATGTATGATCTGAACTGAGTAGGAGAAAGAAAGGAATTATTATTGCATGGAAAACATGGAATGTTATAAAGCATGACACCCTTCTGAGGGGTTCTGGAGTCATGCTACCCTGAAAAAAATCCAAATTTGAGACTCTCTGAGGCATGGTTTCCAACATTCTGAGACACATTTGTGTATTTCTCTTTAGCCAGATTTTTATGTTAGAATCAGTAAAATAAGGCTACTTTTGCAAAATGTCTAACCTACCTATTATCTGAGGTGTGCAATTTACAAGTAAGCAAATGGAGATCAGGTTCGTGCACAAAGTGAGCTTCTTGTAATGATAGCTCACCAAACAAGTCATACAAAATTTCCAATTGTGAAATTCCAGAAAAACTTGGAAACCCAGCACGGTTTATGTCAGCAATCCATTCCTTGGTAAATCTGGCATCCAGGCGAATGGAGCCCTCAATGAGTGGAGCAGTTTTGTTTTGAATAGTCTGCTTCATATCCATGTGGGAATCAAGAAGAAGAGCTATATCTTCAACATGACAGGTCAAACCTGAAAACAGATGAAAGACAATCTGAAAAGTTAGCATAGTGACTTAATGGAAACTCTACTTTCTTTGGACTAGTAGAGGATTTTATGATATTAGCTAACACAACCACAATCCAGAAACCAAGGGGATGGACAAGGTAATTAAAAGCTGCTAGCAGAAGAAATGACCCTAATTGCTAAATTATTAAGGAAAAATATGCAGAGAAAACAAAGATAACAACTCAATGAATGCCATAAAAATAATGTTTATGGGTGACAGTCTGCTCTCCCCAGCCTCCTCTAAATGCGCTCATACAAATAGACTATCAGTTTCATTTCTCATTTGATATAGTCTTGACATTAGATTTTTTATCATAAGATCTCCAATACCACCTGACCTCACAAAACAGGATTATAACATCAAATAATTTCTAATTCTAAAATTACTTCAACTCATAAAAGATGTAATGAAGAAACATCTGTAGATTAAGTGAACAAGATGCTAGGTATTCCACAGCTGATGCCATCAGCAAGCTCCAGTCCTTAGGTGATTTTTTGTCTCCAAAGAGTGGTGGTTATTACATTCTTATCACAGCCAAGGACAATTGTTGAAGCTATAACTACATTCTGTTACCAGGTATTAAATAGTTATATGAAGAATATTTTATGAACATACCTTTACTTTCAGCTAAATCAAAGATCTTTTTACCACTCTCTGCAGTCAAGGATAGAGGGAAATCCACCAAAACATGCTTTCCATGTTCTAGGATTTTTCTGTAAAATGAAGGGTGTTTTAAGAGATTCTGCCAAAAGAAATAGATAAGTATACTGAAGACAGAGTCTCATAAAACACTGTGTTAATTAACCACCATCATCATTACATCTCCCAAGTTTGATGAACTGGAAAGAGGAAAAATCATTTTGAAGATCATGATCACCTGGCATATTCTTCGTGGGTGTCATTTTCTGTGCAAATGATAAAGGCATCCACATCATCTCTTGTCAAGGCTTCGTCCCAATGTAGAACAGGGAGATCATCTTCGACTTGCCTCCTATTAATATTAATAAATAAATGAACCCAACGAAAAACTGTGATCAACTTAACAAAACAAGCAATCTACGCAAATAAGTAGAATTTAGTTAACCTATATGATTCGATGATAGTTTTAGGCAGACCATCATACATGTAGAGGTACCAATGTGCGACTTAGGATATCATAAACTTACTAATTAAAAATACTTCTGAGCAACGTGGTGTTAACTGAAGACGAGGTCAGAAGACTCTGAGGTTTCAAAATCCTTCTTAAAAAAGTGCACTGAATTCACTTTTTCGAAGTTTTCATTCAATGAAAACAACCTGCAGATCAAAGAATATAACTACCAAACCCTATTGCAGAAAAGTAAGGCCCGGTTCAGACGCCGAACTTTTCATGAGCCGAACTCAATTCGAATTTGGACCGACCCAAATTAACAAAAGTACGCCTGTTGATTCAGAGGCTGTTCTTTTCGGCCGTTCCAGATACAGTTCCAGTAAAACCAGTCACATTACTTGCAAAATACATTATAATAGTTTATGCATTAGGATCGGCGCATGAAAAGTACGACGTCTAAATCAAAGCCGTTCCAAAGGCGTTCCAGAGGCGAAATTCTCGGCCAAGCCAGGCGGGAAGAACGGGTGAGCCGTTCCAAATTGAAATAGCCGTTCCAAATCGATTCAGACGCCGATCTTTCTATGTAACTTAATTCAAGGAATTAGGTTCGGCTCATGAAAAGATCGGTGTCTGAACTGGGCCTAAGGATTGGGATCAATCATCATAACAATTATGATGGGATTCCCTCCTCTAACCTCCATCCCTCTTCTCTCACGAACTTAAGATGGGCTTTTCGTTAGAACCATAAAATTCTGAGCTGCTTCTTGCCTCTTGATTAGCTCGTGGGAAAGCAGCGAAAAAGTTAAGAAAACGCATTTATGTAAAAATCATTACAGGAGGGGTTCCCAAAAATTGGGCCCAACTAATAATCTTACCTCGATATCACCCCACGAAGAACAACAGTGTCTCCGAGGACTTTCTGCTTCAAATCTCTCACTCTGACTTTTCCAGCGATTCCCAATCCAACAACAACGATACCCAAAGATCTGTCCGTCATATCTGTTCAATCTACACCTTCGCTAGACGAGGAATTAGCGTCGACACATCAGTTTTCCGTTCTATAAATACGGCTTACATAACAATTTAATACCAGCTGTGAAACTTTGTTATTTTGAGGCCAATTTTTTCAGTATACAGCTGTGCACACAAGACCAAGGTGAATTAAAAGAATATAAAGTAAACTTCTGGAAAATGACAGAGCTCATGCACCCAAGAAGTCGTCTTCGTGCCCATTTTTGAAATTTTGGCTAGAAATATATATTCTCCAGTTGCGTGACTTCGTAACACTACGAACTTGTGCCAACTCTCCTCGGTAAGAGATCGTCCCAGAGTTCCCCGGCCCCGAAAAGCCCCATGAACACCCCGTTAGAAAAAGGAAAGTGCGATGGGAGCACCGCCCCGCAGTCATCCAGAAAATTCCTACTTCTTGTTCATCATTATTTTTCTTATAATTCAAAACGTTATTTGTCTATCCATGATCTAGATTATTCCGTTTTCCGTTGCCATCCGTTCACAACTGTGGTATTTCCTTCCTGTTAAATTCCTCTTTTTGCTGTGAACATCTGAATCAGCTGATCTAAAAAAGGGGTTTCGCATCTCTCACTCTCCTTCTCATTTTTCTCCCTTTTATTTGAGACTTAATTATTTCAGAACTGATACCCTTTATATTAATTACCAGAACAAATAATAATTTTGCCACTGTTGATGTTGCTTTCGACAAGTTTAAAACATATTTTACCGTGCATGCGTACGACAATATTTAATGGATAATTACTGAGGCATAAGGCATTATTAGAAATATTGCAGCCAGCTGAGGCCGTAGACCGAAGCTGGCTGCAATATTTCTCATAGTGCCATGTGCCGAAGTAACCCATGAAATCCTATTGTTCTGTGTCTGTGTTGGATCTTCGACTTTAGTCGCACTATGTGTGATAATTGTGATGCTCATTGCTATTGTTCTTTGTTGTGATGAATATATCTTAGATTTTAGTTGTGCCGAGGGTTGTTATTGTAGCTCGTTGTCATAGTTGTTCAAAACAGTTCTAATGATGGAATTAATTCGTGCAAGGCGTGTAACACTGCTAATTTACATACTTTATAAGCCAGAGAATTCAGTCATTTTACTCAGTGCGAACCTGGGTATAGAAAGAGGATGGATTCGTCGGAAGACGAAGGATTATTTATTACACAGAGCTCTACGAAGGCAGATATTTAAGCAGAACTCGAAGATTATGTAGTGTAACGTTTGGACATTTCTGTCAGTGCTTTAATTCTTTATCGACTTCTAAAGGCGGCGTTTCCATTTTCTTTTTTTAAATAGAGCAAAGATTTAGAAAGCCAATTACAGCTTCAGAATGCGAGAAATTTGACAAAAGTTGGGTTTCAGACGCCAGCCGCC